GTGGGAGACGTGGCTCTTCGTCCACAAAGAAATGGTCATTTCAGGAGTGCACCCACCTACCTCATCAGGCTCCATGGGAATTATGGTGCACAAGGCGAAAATGAAAGGGTGCACATACTTCATGTACATGTAATAGGTAGCAACTGCGTCGGACACTGAGTAGGTGGCCAGGGTCTGTTGGGGAAGGGTGAGAGGCAAATTAATTCAAATCACATATGACAGAGCAGCTCAATGACAATAATGGTGGGTGTCAAGAGGATGGGGCCAGGCTCTTCTCAGTGGTGCCCAGCGATAGGACAAGGGGCAACGGGCACAAACTGGAACACAGGAGGTTCCACTTAAACGCGAGTAGAAACTTCTTTCCTGTGAGGGTGCCAGAGCCCTGGGACAGGCTGCCCAGAGAGGGTGTGGAGTCTCCATCTCTGGAGATGTTCAAACCCACCTGGACACTTTCCTGTGCAACCTGTTGTAGGGAACCTGCTCTGGCAGGGGGGTTGGACTGGATGATCTCCTGAGGTCCCTTCCAACCCCCACCATGCTGTGATTCTGGGATTGCTTCCTGCTGGACATGCTCGTATCAGAAGAAGGGGAAGCAGTATTTCTCCATATCCAAGGTTCAAGGTTGTAAAAAATAATCTGTTCACATCCAAGGACACCCTGTTCCCACTCTAATTGCACAGCAAAACATCAGCTTTGAATGAGAAGAAATGGGAAGGATGAGCTCACAGCACAGATGCTGCCTGGTTTGGGAATCTGGAGGCTGCTCCAGGGCTTCAGCAGAAATCTCCTGTCTGAAGAAGAAGCACAAAGCCTCTTTTCCCTCCAGCAAGCCATGGCTCTCTGTGGTGTGTCTGATTTAGGTGGTGTGTGTCACCTCACATTGATGTAAACAAACACTGAAAATACACAGTGTGATGCCACCACTAGAACCACCTCAAATAAATCCTGGTCTTTCTCCCCACAAGCTCAAGTGTTTCTAAAGCATCAGCAACTGGGGAGACAGGTTGAGTAATTTCTCAAACCCCACTGCATTAAGCAAAACCATTTTCTAACACTTTAACTTAAAGATCCCATCATACTGCAGCTGCCCTAGGCTTGTTTTTCAACTGCTCAGAGGAGACACAGCACAGGGAGGGAATACCTGAGGTTCCTCTGTAGCCATCCGGCACATCTCTTCAGGGTCCAGCTCCACTGGATCGTAGCCCAGTTTTGCTTTAGCTGCTGCTTTCAGGTTGTGACTTCCCACTGGTAGGTAACTGTCTCTCTTCACCCACCTGGACAGAATCATGAAAATACTGGTTTGTGCAGAGAAACCAGCCTTGCCCTTCAAAAAGGGGGCTCAGGCTTGCAAATGGGACCTCAATTGCAAAGGGGACCTCTCACTGAGGACAGCCAAGAGCTGAGCATCCAAGCACAGCAGAGTAAGAGGATGCCAGGCTTTAGATATCCTGCATCTCTACCAAGGCACTGAAATGCCAACCAGGACAACCCCCACTATCCATACCATCACCACAGCTCAGAATTACCACCTTCCAACTCCCTCAGTAGCTTTAAATACTTACCCACTGGAGAAGACACCACCAGGGCTGGAAGGACAGCCAGCCACTCTCCAAAGTCCAGACACTGCTGCACTGGAGGAAAACCACTCAAACCCCCTAATTTCTCTCTCTCTCTCCTACATGTGCACCATGTGTCCTTTTCTCTTCTGGCTGTGCCACTGCTGGGTTAGGACATGGTCCCTTCCCCACTCCAATGGCATGATCTTGTCCCACCCTTTCTCCGTTCCCCCAGATCGGACCTCAGTCACCTGAGGACAGCCACCAGCAAGCTGCAGGGAGAGCCAGCCCTGAGAGCCCTTCACGGGGAAGGCTTGGCAGCCTCTGTGGTACATGCCAAGGGGAAGCAGCACAATCAAAGAAATGGACTATCATGGCATCCTTAGGAGGTGCAACATATGAAAGCTTCCAACAGACCAAAGGAGGACAGTATTCAAACACAACTGTAGGTATTTTATATAAATTCAGGAGATGATGATGCAGCTACATGGTAGAGGGGCAGGGTTTGGTACCTCAGACAGTCCATGTGGATGCACTGGGATGCTTTGTACTCTCCCTGGCTGTCCTTCTGAAACCCAATTTCCTGATACATATTAATTCCATGAGCTGCTGCTCTTGCTTCCACAAAGGGCCTGAAGAAAGAGGCAAGGTGAAGAGAAGAACCAGAACAGTCATTTCCCTTCATCTTCAACAACAGTTTCACAACTGCTTTGTTATTACAAACTATCTAAAGAATTTTTTTTGTGATTTATCTGTGCGGCCAGCAAGATCAGGGAAGCCATCCTTCCCCTGTACTGGGCACTGGTGAGGCTGCACCTCAAGTGCAGTGTTGGGCCCCTCACTCCAAGAAGGACATGGAGGTGCTGGAGCGTGTCCAGAGAAGGGCAACGGAGCTGGGGAAGGGTCTGGAGCACAAGTGTGCTGAGTTCCCTTGTGGCTGAGGGAACTGGGGGTGTTGAGCCTGGAGAAAAGGAGGCTGAGGGGAGACCTTGTGGCTCTGTCCAAGTCCCTTGGAGGAGGGTGGAGAGAGGTGGGGGTGGGTCTGTTCAACCAAGGAGCAAGGGAGAGGACAAGAGGAAATGGGCTCCAGTTGTGCCCAGGGCAGTTGAGATGGGATGTGAGGAAGAATTTCTTTGCTGAAAGGGTTCTCGGGCATTGGAACAGGCTGCCCAGGGAGGTGGTTGAGTCCCCATCCCTGAAGGTATTTAAAAGATGGGAAGATGAGGTACTCAGAGATATGGTTTAGTAGTGGACAGGCACAGTTGGACTCAATGATCTCAAAGATCTTTTCCAACCAGGCGATTCTAGGATTCTATGATTCCTGCAGAACAGAACCACAGCATGACCCAAGAGACAAAGCTGCTCACTTACATCCTGCACCAGGAGGTGGAGGTGCATGGTCCCTCTCCCCTTGCTTCCTGAAGGCTTGCCTGCGTCCCCCTCCCCAAGACCCTCCAGGTCTTTTTTGACCCTCCCCCTGTTCCCCCAAGACTGGGTTCATCCATACACCAATATTGTCACATTGACAAGGGCTTGAAGAAGCTCAGCCAAGCAGATGGGACTCTACAGAAGCACACACTTCCAAGCCAATGACCACAGGACTTGGCGAGGTTCTCAAACTGGCCAGACAGTTGGCATGGATCACACACCATCACCACTGTGTGAGCTACGGAACGACAACGAGGCTGGTACCTGACCCTGCCCCACAGCTCAGGTGACACCTTGTCAGCCTAGTTTTAATTCCTGATCTCACCAGTCAAAGAAGTCTCCATTGTACGTGACAATGATGTGGGGTTTGGTCTCCTGCACATGTTCAAACCACCTCTGGATTAAATGAGCCTAGGATGAAGAGTAGAAAAGACACGTATACAAAATAATTTCATCTCCTTCACAGAGATACAGTTTACTCCACCCTTCCTGGCCCAAACCTGACCTCTTTTACCCTTATTTCCAAGAAGTGAAAGCATGACCAGCCCTGCCTGACCCACCACGTTCCCCAGTGAGGCAGCCTACCAAGCAATTATCTCTCTTTGGCCAACAAGAGCCCCAGGCAGGTAAAGTTGGCTGGGCAGAACTGACTTACTTCATCTGGTTCATTAAAGACACAAAATGGACCCTCGTACTCCGGCTTGGGAGTAAACTCAAAGTCTTCAATATCCTCAGAGACGATCTCCCTGTTTGTGATCAGGTAACCCTATGGAGGTGACAAGGAGGCAGTTAGGAGGACTTGGCTTGGAAGCAATCTGAAAATGGTGTCCAAATAACAGGATGCTTTCCTCTTGAAAAGCCAGAGCTTCTGTCAAGAGCGATCAACTGTTTGGGAGTTATCAGCTGAACCATCATTGGCCACCAGCAAAGGAGGCCACTGGGAGACAACACGGGACAGCAGAGATGTCCCTGTGCTCTCCAGGTTACTACTGCTCCCTGAGAGAGGAGCACCAACAACCTGAGCTGGGCACCACAAAACTAAATATCTTATGCATCATTCAGACTTTAATTTCATTTCCACAGCCACACACCAAGCAGCCAGCAGCAAGGCAAGCCTGGAGCGAGCTGGGTTGGAGGCAAAACGCTGGCCTGCTCCACAGCTTCACTGCTGGAGCATGGAGAAAACCACTGCTGTCCCTTACCTGCCCATCAATCATGTAGGAGATCATCATGATCTGGTCTGTCTCTGCATCAGGAAACTTCAACGGGAGTTTGGTAGTTTCAATGTCAAAGGCGAGAACGACGGGATCCTGAGCAGGACCAAATCCATCAGAAAATATTCTAAAGCCGACTTGAAGTTAGAGTGATTCCCATTAAGCCCAGTGCTAGGCCAGCAGGTGAACCAGACCCTTCCCAGTAATCATTTTACTGCTTTATCAACCCAAAAATGATGACCCAAGCCCACAAACAAAGCCTTCCCCCTGCGCACCACAGTGTGACACCAGCAGCACACAGGAAACCAGCTCCTTGGGGTGGGCACACCAGCTGTGCCCTGGACAGACAGATGCCTGCCTGACCAATGCTCACCGGCCGCTCCACCAGGTCATCTCGGCGGATGATTTCGGGGGGGTAGGTGCTGCCCCGGTACCGCACGTTGTACCAGTGAGCCTGTGGAGAGAGGAGGGCGGGCAGTGCCTTACAGAGGGGCTAGCACCTTGTACCAGTTCTGTCTGGCTGCTGGGGAGAGAGCTGCAGGAATCCAATGCAGCCCAGAAGAAAAGCTCAAATTGGGGCTGTGCATCCATCGTTTAACTTTCCTGCACGTCATTAACTAAGGAGAAGGCCCAGCAGCATGGGATTGGTGACCTTATTGTGGCCTTTCAATACTTAAGGAGGGCCTATAAGATGGGGCCATACTTTTTAGCAGGGCCTGTAGTGATAGGACAAGGGGTGATTGTTTAACTAAAAGAGAAGAGATTCAGACTACATGTAATGAAGAAATTTTTCACTATGAGGGTGGTGAGACACTGGCCCAGGTTGCCCAGAGAGGTGGCATCCCTGGAAACATTCAAGGCCAGGCTGGACGGGGCTCTCTGAGCAACCTGATCTAGTTGAAGATGTCCCTGTCACTGCAGGGGGGTTGGACTAGAGACCTTGAAAGGTCCCTTCCAACCCAAACCAGTCTGATTCTACAATTAAGCTTTACACATGAACTTGTCGTCACTGACACCTTTGCAAAGGTCCTGTTGAGAAAATCTTTCTGCCCTGCCTGCACTTTGGGAGCATGGCAGCAGGAAAGTTAAGCTCTTCCAGCTTCCCTATTCCTTACTCACCACATGGATCTTTAGGTCAATGGAGAGGCGAATGTGGTAGGGTACGTCGTACTCCCGCATATCCACAATGTTGTCCATCTGGTTGGCGACTTTTCTGGAGGCCCCTTCCTCCTCTGTGCTCAGGCTGCCTCCGCTCAGAGCACTGCAAGGAGCAGAGCCAAGCACTCACCTTACCTGAGCACACACCTCTGCTGCGAGGGACAGCCATGTGCACCGGTGACACCCAGCACCAGGAGTCAGGGACAGGAGAGAACCAGAAACGCTTCCCCACCACACTATCACCCTTGGCTTGCAGAGGTATCCCCAGGACAGACAGTACACGCAGCCCCATCACTCCCGTCTAAATTCACCTTTTCTCACGTTCATGAGCTGTGTCTGCTCAGAGGTACAGGCAGACAAATCCCACCCCTGCCTGTATGAAGGGTCTGGAGAACAAGTTCTACGAGGAGTGGCTGAGGGAACTGGGGTTGTTGAGCTTGGAGAAAAGGAGGCTGAGGGGAGACCTTGTGGCTCTGTGCAAGTCCCTTGGAGGAGGGTGGAGAGAGGTGGGGGTGGGTCTGTTCAACCAAGGACCAAGGGACAGGACAAGAGGAAATGGTCTCAAGTTGTGCCCAGGGCAGTTGAGATGGGATGTGAGGAAGAATTTCTTTGCTGCAAGGGTTCTGAGGCATTGGAAGGGGTTGCCCAGGGCAGTGGTGGAGTCCCCATCCCTGGAGTCGTGAAGACAGTGCTGAGGGACATGGGGTAGTCGGGGACTTGGCAGTGTTGGGTTCATGATTGGACTCGATGATCTTAAAGGGCTTTTCCAATCACTATGGTTCTGTGTAAGAAGCAGTTCTTATGGCACTGGATTTATAACTCTGGTAATTGGTCTAAGCATAATGAGGCAATCTGGGAAGCCCTTGAAGAGGGACAGTATGCCTTCCAGGTGAGCGGGGAGCACTCATCTCACTTGATTCTTCTTCAGGTTTCAACCAAAATCAGACTTCAGGGCCAGGAAACCAGAGAGGGGAAAATTTTTCATGTGTATATTCTGGTTGACTTTAAAACCAAAGTTTCTTATTTTTTTTCCTGTCTGCAACTGCATTTCCAATCCTGCATACAAGTGCCTGGCTTTTTACTCAGATAGAAAATGTTTGTTGGGCTATTTTTTCCTCCCTCTTTAATCACAGCTGAAAGTAAGGTTGCCCAGTGCCTCTCGGTATCCTTTCTCAGGGAACAAGGGATCTATTTGACTGGCAGACAGAGGTACCACCACAGCACATCACATCCCAGAGGCTCTAGAACCTCTTGATGTGCAGCACTGAGCTGGAAGAGCCACCTCAGAGATGGGTGGCAGAGAGGCATAGCTGGGGTCAGACCCCAGGCAGGACAACTCGTCTCTGAGGACAGCTAAGAAATAATCAAGGGAGCCCAATTATTAACATGAGGGACCGACCGGCCGCCCTCGGAGAGTTCGCACCTCGCCAGCATGGCTGTGTAGACATCGCTCGCCTGGTCTCGCTCTCTGTTTTTCCTCACGGCAGGTGAGATCTCCTTCCTCACCTTCACCAGGTCATCCACCGTGTTGAAGGACAGCTTGATGTAGCTCCTCTTCAGGCCCACCAAGTGGTTTGGCTGCAAAGCGGCAAGACAACACCAGGTCAGGGGGGCTGAGCACTGAGGGATGGCCACCAAAAGAGAGGGTGGGGAAGGCAGACAAGACTGATGCAGATGGAGGAATTGGTCAAAAAAGAGGTGCCAGTGGTGGGAGAGTGTCCTGGTTTTGGCTGCAATAAAGTTGATTTTCTTCCTAGTAGCTGGTACAGTGCTGTGTTTTGGATTTAGGATGAGAAGAAAGTTGATAACACGCTGATGTTTTAGTTGCTGCCGAGCAGTGCTGACATTAAGTCAAGGACTCTTCAGCTTCTCATAATGCCCTGCCAGTGGAGGCTGGGGGTGCACACGAAACTGGGAGGGGACACAGCTGGGACAGCTGACCCCAACTGACCAAAGGGATATTCCAGACCATAGGACGTCATGCTCAGCAGATAAAGCTGGGGGAAGAAGAAGGAAGGGAGGGGATGTTTAGAGTGATGGCATTTGTCCTCCCAAGTCACCGTTCCCTGTGATGGAGCCCTGCTGTCCTGGGATGGCTGAACACCTGCCTGCGATGGGAAGCAGTGAATGAATTCCTTGTTTTCCTTTCCTTGCATGTGCAGCTTTTGCTTTCCCTATTAAACTGTCTTTGTCTCAACCCAGGAGTTTTCCCACTTTCACCCTTCCAGCTCTCTCCCCCATCCCACTGAGGGGGAATGAGCGAGCAGCTGAGTGATGCTTTTTTGCCAGCTGGGGTTAAACCACAACAGAGAGTCAAGCACCGAGAAGTGCCTTTGGTGAGCTGTGGTGCTTTCACTGGGCTGGCAGCCAAACCCAGCTGCTCTCTCACTTTCCCCCAGGGGATAGGGGAGAGAATTGGGGGGCAAGAGTAAGGGTAAGAAACGAACAATGTAATAATTGAAATAAAACTTAAAATAATACTGGTGTTAAAATAATAACGATACTAATAACTATCCCAGAGGAGCGACAATCCTGAACTGAAACCTAGGAAAGCGAGAGCCCGAGCGAAAGCCAGAGAGAGCAAGAGAGGAAGAGCCCCTCATGAAGCTCCTGCCCATGGGGGACAGGAGATGGAACAGCCCCTTGGCAGAGCCCAATGCCCATGGAGCTGACCCATGTCAATATTCCTCACCCCTGAGATCTTGTGCTTGCAGACGGACAAACACAAAGTCCTTCAGTGCCAGGGACACAAATGCAACATGGGGATGTTCTCAGCGTTTCTCTCCTGACAAATCCCAGCTGAACCCAACCCCCAGCGCTGTTCCAGCTGCTGAAAATAAACCAGCTCTGGCCCAGCCCACACCAGGAAAGGAGCACATCAGGGAATAGCACAAGAGCTGCACAGCAAGGGCCCAGCCGGTCCCGCTGCCCATGCGGGCAGGACCATGAGCTGAAGTCACCTGGGGAAGAGGAGGAAAAGCAGGTAAAGCATGAGCAGCATCCCCCTCCCACAGTACCCTCTCCTCCTCTAATCACTCTCTAATTCCTGCAATTAAACCTCTTGAACAGGCTGTGAAACATCTGATGTGCTCAGGGAGAGGAATGTCATTACCACTGAAAAGCAATTAGCCATAATGAACTTGTTTCTGACAGGCACCACAAGCTGCACAGGACAGCTAAGTCAAGTGTGATGGTTCCCTTCACTGCTTGGTCCCTCCATACTTTGGGCTGCACAAGGTCCCAAGAAACCCAACTACTCAAGGGCACAGAGGGCAGAAGATTACAGACCAGGTCCAGGTCTTCTTTGGGGACAGTTTCCAGCTTTGCAATCTTCCCTTGGAACTTCTTAGAGAGGAAGGAGGACACTTCTCGCTCACAGCCCTGCCGAGAGATCCTGGGGCTGAGCAGCGCGGCTCTGTCCCTTGGGAAGAAGACCATCCCAAAGCAGGAGGCCCAGGAGGTCTCAAGCTCCCCAGGACCTGCTGTCCCCTTCCCTGGGGACCTCAGCCCTCCCAGGGTCCCCTCCTCACCTTCTGGGTGGCAATGTAGAAGTAGGGCTTGTAGGGTAGGGCCACCTAGGAGAGAGCAGATGGGTGACAGTGGTGGGTCCCCATGTGGGACCCTGCACCCTGCCCAGCCCTCCCGGGGACCCACCTTGAAGCGGCTCCCGTCCTCCTGGAT